CTGCAAGTGACAACCCAATCGGTCTTCACCCTCCAGGAAGTTACTACCACACTGACAAGAAGCGCAGCGGTGGGGCGGACGCCTGTCTGGGTGGGTGCCAACCCCCGGTCAGTGTCTTGGCTTCCTCCTCGGTCCTCAGGCAGGTCACCTCACAGTCCCAGGATGCTGCCGGACAAGCAGAGCGGAATGAAACTCTCCCCGGAGTGGGGGTGTAGGTCACCTGCTGCCTCAGTCTATTAGACACTTGCAAGTTGGTGGAGACCAGGAATTCTCAACCCTCTGTCAACACCAGACTCGTCTGGGAGGTTGTTTAATCTCCTGAGGTCCAGGCCTCGCCTGCAGAGACCTGACGTCCTAGGGGTTGGGTGCGTGGGTGTGCGGACCCACTCACTGTGATTAATAGAAAACGCCGAAGGAAGGGGGGTTTCCTCAGGTCCGGGCAGCAACCGAACGGACTCGGGACCCATGCGACGGGGTCGAGGGGATGGTGCTGTCTACCCAGCCAGCATTGCCGCTCAGTCTCCGGGTCTCAGTGATGGCGTTTGTGTCCTGGGTTTCCGGTCTCGGCATTTCTGTGTGGATGGAGCAGCTTCCTGCTGAGGTTGTCCACACCCTACAGTCCCCGACTCGACGGAGAGGTTTTCCTTCCTTTCACACACATCCTCACGTCCTCTTTCCTTCTCCATGAACAGGGTGCCCTGTTCCCAGACCGGAGCTGATCTGCCAGCCAGACCCGGGGCGGGAGCTGTGGATGGTGAAGACAGATCTCTCCCGAGGCGCCTGTCCAGGTAGGAGCCGAGGCCCGGCCGCCCTGAGGCCTTGAGGAGACCGCTGGCCGCGGGTCCCTGGAAAGCTGCTTGCTGTGGCCTGTCTGCTGGTTTGGAAGCCTTGGAGCCCTTTGACCTGTGGGCCCTCTGACCTCATGGAGGACGGAGGTGTACGCGCTGAGGTCTGTCTGGGCTCAGAGCCTGGCTTGCCGATCACCATCTCTGTGCCGTAGCAAAGTTGCACGATCTCGTTGTGTCTTTGTGGAAGAAACCCAGCTTCTGGATGATCAGACAGACTCCAGAACCTCAGGGCTCAGCATATGGCAGCTCTTTTTCTCACTCGGCAGGGCCCATGGGATCAGCAGGGAGCTGGCCACACCGTTACTGAAGGACCCGTGTGGGTTCTGTCGTCATCGTGTGGCTGTCAGGTTGTGCTGACGTCCTGGAGCTGGCAGAGGAGAATGGAGAGAGGAGAGAGGAGGGAGGATGTCACACCCCCTCCCACAAACACCAGTTCCCCTCACATCCCATGACGAGAACTGGGCGTTTGGGCACCTGGGTGTGGGGCTGGGAAGCGTGGTGAGGCTGTCAGTGAGGAGCAGCGGCTTTGGAGAGTGTAGTCTGCGACAGTCCGTCTGTCCCTGGAAGATGCTGGTAATGGTGTCTCTGTTGTCAGGTTGTTTGGGGATGTGATCACGTATCGCATTAATGCATAAAACTGCAGAGCACAGCGTCTGAGCATAGCAAGTGGCTCATGGAAAGCAAGCTGTTGGCAGTGGCCTGTTACCATGAGTGACGTGTCTCACATTTCCCGCTGACCTCTGAGGAAAGGGCCTTCCTTCTCTCCAGTCACTCTCTCCAGCTGTACTCTGCCACCGTCCACCTTCTTCACCCGCCCACCCTCTAGTCAGTCAGAAACACCGCACTCCCTGTTCCTGCCCCTCCTGTTTGGTAAAACCTCAAGATGACATTGACCTTGTCTGCCCCACCTGTGAGCTCTGGAGGGCACTGGGGCATCACGTGTGGAGCTTGGTGCCCCTGCAGTCATTTCTGTGGGTCCTTGGGCTGCTCAGCCAGCCTGTGAGTCTGTCTGCAGCTCATGGCAGCCCCTCAGCGTCTGTGCCTCTGCCCCCACCTCAGTCCACATCTCCATTGGAAGCCTCAGAGGCACCAGAGTCAGCGTGCCTGGCAAGGATCCCACGGCGTTGCCCACTCCTCTCCCCTCCCCAGTTTCAGTGAGTGGTGCTGCCATTGAGGCAGGTTAGAAACTAGATGTGGCCTCCGAATGACTCCCCTCCACCGCCATCATTCCCACCCCAGCCGTGCCCAGGCCTGTTCATTCCGTCACATCCATCTCCTGAATCCACACTAATAACTCACCCCTCCACCGCCATCATTCCTACACCCAGCTGTCCCTGGGCCTGTTCATTCCGTCACATCCATCTCCTGAATCCATCACTAATAACTCACCCCTCCACCGCCATCATTCCCACCCCAGCCGTGCCCAGGCCTGTTCATTCCGTCACATCCATCTCCTGAATCCATCACTAATAACTCACCCCTTCGCCATCATTCCTACCCCAGCCGTGCCCAGGCCTGTTCATTCCGTCACATCCATCTCCTGAATCCATCACTAATAACTCACCCCTCCACCGCCATCATTCCTACCCCAGCCGTGCCCAGTCCTGTTCATTCCCGTCACTGCAGCCCCTCCCTCAGACCCGTCCCACCCTCGGTTTCAGCTCATCCTCTGGCCCTGGGGGATGCTCATCGTCTCCTAACCGGTCTCTCCACTTGCTGGTGCCTCAGACCAGCTGTGTGTCCCGCAGGAGCTGCTCAGGGGCTCAGGCCTGGTTCCGGGCAGTGACCACCTCCCCAGCCCCAGAGTCTCAGCCTGTGGCCACCAATGTGTCAGGCTTCCAGTTGAAAGTAAAGTGGGCCTCCCGCCGTGGCTTGCTCCTCACCCTTCCGCACGCTGTGGACTCGCCTGTCGGCGCTTCTCCTTCACCTGGCAGGAGGGGTCTTGCCCCAACCACAGCCAAGTCCTGAACCAGAGTCTCGATCACACCTTTTCTGGGAAAGTCTTCCTTTGCTTACATTCTTCACTTACATATCCCCCCCACCCCCCTTGGGTAACTTCATCCTTTTTCTACTCAAAATAAAAGTATGTTCCAGGTGCTCTCGCTGGTGTGGCTTATTTAGTTGTGTCATCCCATGCACCGAAAGGTAGCTGGTTTGATTCCCGTCAGAGAGGAAGGGAGAGGGAGAAAGATAGAAACATCAATGATGAGAATCATTGATCAGCTGCCTCCTGCACGCCCGCTATTGGGGATCAAGCCCACAACACAGGCATGTGCCCTTGACCGGAATCGAACCTAGGACCTTTGTCCACAGGCCAATGCTCTATCCACTGAGCCAAACCGGCTAGTGCCACTTTTTTACTTTATTATTATTATTATTACTATTATTTTAGAGGGAGAGGAAGAGAGACAGAGGCCTAACAATGTGTTGTTCAACTTATGCATTGGTTGGTTGATTCTTGTATGTGCCCTGACCGGAGAGCAAACCCACAACCTTGGCTTATGGGATGACACTAACCACCAACTGAACTGCTGAGCTCTCTGTTCTCTTTCCAACACCCTGTTTGTCTTCTCTGTGCCTGTACAACCAGGTCTTAAACTCTATAATCCTCTAAGAGTATTATCTGATCGGGTAGGTGTTCTTCTCCTTGTACTCTTTAGTCTTACTTCCTGTCTTTCATGCACATCTACAATCAGATCTTTGGGTTCTGTGGTGACGGGATTATATTGAATTTATATATTTACCTGGGTAGGATTGTTGGTTTTATATTATCAATCCTTCACTAATAGACCTTGGTTTTAATACTATCATTTTCTCCATATAGATCATGTGTATTTTGCCATTCTTCCCCAAACTGTTCCTCAGGCATACCAGACCAATGTGTCCAGCCCAGTCCGGGAGTGCTCACTGTCTCCCGAGTCTGTCCCCACCGGTCAGTCCCTGGCTTCTCAGCACCGTCCACTCATGCTCTGTAGTGCCCCTCCCCTTTCTCTGTGGCACATTATGATGGTGCCAGTGGGACTCATATCGGGGGCACCTCCATTGGGAAACGCCGATTTTCCCTTCACAGTATTAGCCAAACCAAGGGGGAAGGACACAGAACTCAAGGCTGCCATGTGCGCACAGGTCTCCTGACACCAGAGACAAGTTCAGGGATTTCCCAAAACTACCCTCAGGTTCAAAGATTTGCTAGAAAGACTCAGAAAACTCCCTGAAACCCATTATACTCACTATCATATTTAAGAGGACACAGGTTAGAAGAGATGAGGAATGTGGGGCTGAAAGTGTTCCAAACACGAAGATTCCGTGTCCTTGGCAACTCCTCAGCTAGCCTCTGTGTCGGGCGGCATGAGCACAGGGTGTGGCCCACCCAGGGCACTCCAAGACTCGATGTCCAGATTTCCATTGAGGTGTCACTGAGCCTTTGCTGGTGGGATTCCATCTCCAGCCCTCCTTTCCTTCCCAAAGGTCCAGTTGATGATACCTTGTGGCTCAAAGCCCCAACTTTCTAATCACAAGGTTGGTCTTTGTGATGTGGCCAGGCCTTACTCCCAGTCATCTCCTTACATTAGGGGCCCATAATGCATTGTCTGTTGTCATAAACCAAGCATGTCAAACCTTTAAATAAAGAAGGCATGCAGCCTGCTGGCTGGGAGTTTGACATACTTGTCATAAACTATGGTACGTTCCCAGGGGCCCTCCAGGAATAACCAAGACACTCCTGTCACTTTGAAAATACCCAGAATTTAGAGGTTACATCCTTGGAGTTGAAACAAAGACTACACTTCTCTGTTGGGGAGTAGATCTTGCATATGCACTTCCTGTGTTCCATCAGGGTGGCATTCGCTGTCCCTTCCGAGTGTTCAAGTAGCAACGTGGGCTGTCCTTGCTCAGAGGAAACTCGGAACACACATGGTTATTCGGTACAGCCACGTCCTGTCTGTAGTTGTGGCTGTGTCTCCACCCCAGACATTCTGTCCTCTCATCCAGGCAGGCTCGTGGTGTCAACAGTCCAGGGACCAGGAGAGAGAGAGATTACAGGCCTGGGAGTCAGAGGTAGCAAAGCACAGCAGACACAGGCACTGTTTTCATTTCCATGTTTTTCACTGAAATGCTGATTTTGTTTCTTCTGGGTTGACATTACTAACAGGCCTTTTTGTGTCTTGGATTTCTTCAGGTGACAAAGAGAAATGCAAGACCACAGAATCTACCACTTGTGAGCCAGCCCTGTGCGAGAGATTCTCAGTCCAGGAACAACTAACGCAGACAGTTCCAGGGGACTCCCAAGGAGACCAAACCAAGGACCAGCGTGGCCCATCACAAGTGTCCCTGCAGGAAGGACACGTGGGACCAGGGATAGACCCTCCGAGGGAGAGGCTCCCTGGGAGCCCTGACCATGGCGGCTCAGGGACACCTGACGGGGTGTGTGTGAGGACTGTGCAGGAGCCAGCTCCTCCAGGAGGTGCTGTCCTTCACCATGGCTCACATGAATTACGGAAAGATCCCATGATTCAAGAAGAGGAAAATATCTTTAAATGCAGTGAATGTGGGAAAGTGTTTAACAAGAAACACCTTCTTGCGGGACATGAAAAGATTCACTCTGGAGTGAAGCCCTATGAATGCACAGAATGTGGGAAAACATTTATTAAGAGCACGCACCTCCTTCAACACCACATGATCCACACAGGGGAGAGGCCCTATGAGTGCATGGAGTGTGGGAAGGCCTTCAACCGCAAGTCCTACCTGACACAACACCAGCGGATTCACAGTGGAGAGAAGCCCTATAAGTGCAATGAATGTGGAAAGGCCTTCACCCACCGCTCCAATTTTGTCTTGCATAAGAGGAGACACACTGGAGAAAAATCCTTTGTCTGCAAAGAATGTGGGCAAGTTTTTCGACACAGGCCAGGATTTCTCCGACATCACATCGTCCACAGCGGCGAGAACCCCTATGAGTGCTTCGAGTGTGGGAAGGTCTTCAAACACAAGTCATACCTCATGTGGCACCAGCAGACTCACACTGGGGAGAAGCCCTATGAGTGCAGTGAGTGTGGGAAAGCCTTCTGTGAGAGCGCGGCCCTCATCCACCACTACGTCATCCACACGGGGGAAAAGCCCTTTGAATGCCTCGAGTGCGGGAAGGCCTTCAACCACAGGTCCTACCTCAAGAGGCACCAGCGGATCCACACGGGGGAGAAGCCTTTTGTGTGCACGGAATGTGACCGGGCCTTCACCCACTGCTCCACTTTCATCCTGCACAAGAGGGCCCACACTGGAGAAAAGCCGTTCGAGTGTAAGGAATGTGGCAAAGCCTTCAGCACCAGGAAAGACCTCATCCGGCACTTCAGCATCCACACTGGAGAGAAACCCTATGAGTGCGGTGAGTGTGGGAAGGCCTTCAACCGCAGGTCAGGCCTCACGAGGCATCAGCGGATTCACAGCGGAGAGAAGCCCTATGAGTGCATGGAGTGCGGCAAATCCTTTTGCTGGAGCACTAACCTCATCCGACACGCCATCATCCACACCGGGGAGAAACCCTATAAGTGCAGTGAGTGTGGGAAGGCCTTCAGTCGTAGCTCATCCCTCACTCAGCATCAAAGGATGCATTCTGGGAGAAACCCTGTCAGTGTAACACATGTGGAGAGGCCCTTCCCAAGTGGTCAGACTGCGCTCACGCTCCGAGAGCTCCTGTTGGGGAAGGACTTTTTGAATGTAAACACCGAGGAAAATCTTTTGTCAGAGAAAACATCCACCACAGCATCTGATTGTACTTACCAGAGAGAGACCCCACAAGGATCTTCACTGTGAGAAAAGATCATTGTTGCAGATCATCACTGTCACATGAAGACACATTTTAGAAAGTGACCCAGCCTAGAGCCTTATTGTCATCTGAGGATTTCTCTATGAGGGCATGCACCAAGGAACCCTTCGCCTCCATCTTTTTACTTAGTTTACATCGCAGTATATCTCAGGAATTTTTTTTTTTAGTAGAGAAAATGCAATGAGACTTCTCTGTTAAGCCTACAGCACTTTGTCGTGGATTACCTAGTTTACTTGGGGCAAGAGGAATGTTGTTTCAGGGTGAAAGGCCTTGATTCTTGGTGTGTTTTGTATACATTCATTGTTGTCTAGGGTCAGGAGAGTTAGAAGTTGAGGGCAAGTATTTAAGAAAAGGATGCACATATGAAAGGGCAGACCAGTTAAGACTGTTAAGGCTTAGATTTTTTTAAAAATTATGTGATTTTAAGACATAAAACATTTTTTTAATTCCTATTTATTGTTTTATTTCTGTATTAGACTGTAAATCTTAAAATTCAGTAAAGTGATCCCTCTCTATACATTATTTGAAATTGACTTAGCTTTCCTAGTTTCTTTAACTTTTCATATAAATCTTAAGGTAAGTTTATCTATTCTTACCAAAAAAAATCTTACTCTCATTTTCTTAGAAGTTGATTTACAATGTAGGTCGGTTTGAGAATCAGCATTATGAACAAGTATATGATATGACTACATTTAATTAATAACTCTTGATTTCATTAGCATTTTATCTAGGTTTTTGTTTTTGAGTGGTAGTGGCATTGATTTTTAAATTTAAATTTTCCACACGATCTTAGGTAGTACACAATAATGTAATTATTTTTGGGGGGTGGTTTTGGTAGCCTGCTAAACTCACTTATGATTAGCCATTTCTTTGGATAGAATCCTTGGGTTCTCTACCTAGAAATGTCAACTGCAACTAGTTTTATTTCTTCCTTCCCAATTTGTATACCTGTTATTCTGTTATTTCCTTTTCTCATTGCACTGACTAGGACTTCAGTATGATGTTGAATAGGAGTAGTAAGGAAGGACATCCTTGACTGGTTCCTGAGACCTAGCGGAGGGAACATTCAGTTTTTCGTCATTAAGTACCATACTAACTGTAAGTTTTCATAGTTTTCTCATCAAATTTATAAAGTTTCCCTCTATTCTTAATTTTCTGAGATCTTTATTGTTATGAATAGGTATTGGGTTTTGTCAAGTGCTTTGCATCAATTGATATGATCATCTGATTTTTTTCCTCCATATCCTGTTGATACTACGGTATTGCATTGAGTATTGAATATTGAACCAGCCTTGCATTCTTGCAATAAACCCACTTGGTTGTGGAGTATAATTCTTTTTATATACCATATTAAAGCATTCCATTTGAATATATCTTGTTGAAGTTTTCTTGTAATTTCTTGAGTGATAATGATGTATAGTTCTCATTCTTTGTTTTTTAAAAACTCATCTGGTTTTGGTAAGTATGGAACAATTGAGAATATATATTTCATATTGGATAAATTGGATAATTGGTCCTCTCAAGGAATTGTTGCATTTCATCTAAATTTTCTATTTTGTTTGTAGTCCTGATTGAAATAATCTTTTATTTTTTTTAATGGCAGCAGGATCTGTACTTATATCCCATTTTATTCCTGATTTTGGAAATGTGTCAATCTTCTTAGACATTTATCAATTTCATTGACCATTTTGAAGAACCTGTACTTTATACCATTGATTTCCCCATATTCTTCTTCTTCTGTTCTAATTTCTGGTCTTTATTATATCCTTTATTCCATTTGTTTTGGTTGAATTTTGCTATTTGTATTTTTTTATGTGGGTGCTGAGATTATTGTTTTAAACTTTTTTTTCTTTCCTAATGTAAATATTAAGTACAGTTGAAAACTGGGATATAACTACTCAGCTGTCTACATACGCAGATCAAAAATACACTTGGGCCCTAACCGGTTTGGCTCAGTGGATAGAGCCTCAGTCTGCGGACTCAAGGGTCCCAGGTTCGATTCCGGTGAAGGGCATGTACCTTGGTTGCAGGCACATCCCCAGTAGGGAGTGTGCAGGAGGCAGCTGATCGATGTTTCTCTCTCATTGATGTTTCTAACTCTCTATCCCTCTCCCTTCCTCTCTGTAAAAAATCAATAAAATATATATTTTTAAAAAAATACACTTGGCCCTTAAGGCAGATTTCTGCATATGAGAGGACCCACGAACTTTAAACCTGCATTATTCAAGAGTCAGCTGTTCCATAAACTTCCTTCGTGGCACTGTTCTAGCTTCATTCCATAAGGTTTAATATGTTTTGATTACAACTTGTTCAGTTCTAAATATTTCTTGATTCCTTTAGAGACTTCCTCTCTGATCATGGATTAGAGGTATGTTTTATTTCCTAATGTTGGGAGTATTTCCTGCTATGTTTTTGTTTCTGATTTCTAGTTTCCCATTTGGCCTCACTGTTTAAATTTTTTAAAGTCTGTTTTATGACCCAGGATATGGTTTATCTTCTTGAATATTCAGTTTGGCTGCTTGAAAAGAATGTCCTGCTGTCATTGGGTGGTGTTTCTATGTATGTCTGTCCAATTCTGTTGGAGGTATTCAGATTTCATATATCCTTGCTGAATTTTTTTGTCTAGTATTTCTATCAATGGATGAAAGAGGGGCATTGAACTCTGACAGGATAATTGTAGAGTTGTCTGTTCCTCCTTTAAGTTTTATCAGTCTTAACTTCAGGTATTTCCAAGCTCTGTTGTTTGGTGCAAACATATTTAGGATCCCTATGTTGTCTTAGCGTAATGACCCTTTTATCGTTATGTCGTATCTCATTTTCCTTCTGTTCATTTCCTTACCTTTGCAGCATGCTGTATCTAGTATTAATATAGGCAGTTCTGTATTTTTTTAAAATATATTTTTGTTGATTTCTCAGAGGAAGGGAGAGGGAGATAGAAACATCAATGATGAGAATCACTGATTGGCTGCCTCCTGCACTCCCCATACTGGGAAACGAGCCCGCAACCCGGCGTGTGCCCTTGACGGAACTGAACCTGGGACCCTTCAGTCCGGTGGCCCATGCTCTATCCACTGAGCAGCACCAACTAGGGCTTAATTTACATTCTTTATTGTTGAAAGTATTACATATGTTTCCTTGCCCACCCCCCACCCCATAGAATGCTATGATTTATTACAGCAGAAAGAATCAGAGCAAACAGCCCAGGGAAAAGGCACGAGGACTCGAATCCAGAGACCAGGGACTGTTTTCAATAGTCCTGCCTCGGAAGTCAAACAGGACATGCTGGTTGACGCTCCATTGAGGGACAGTGACACCGGATGGAAATGTCTGCCAGGGAAGCTCATTAGAGCCTGGGGCCCAGGGTTCTAGGCGGCACTCCTACCAGCACATAACGAATTCCAGCTCCCAGAAGAGAGCAGGTGGCCAGCATAAACCACTGTTTACACAGAACTCGTGGGCACATGAACCACCCCTTAAGAGTCATAACGGGTGAAGATTTGCATAAATGTATAACCACTATAACCAAAAAGATCACCCCGTCACAGAACCCTTCAAAACGAGCCAGGATTTGTTTTTTGTTTTTTTAATGACATTTTTAGAGAGAGGAAAAGAGAAACATCAATTTGTTCCACTTATGCACTCATCATTGATGTCTCCCTTTCTCGCTAAAATCAATAAAGATAATTTTAAAATAACAGTTTTATTACCCGACTACTGTGGAGAGGTTCTCGGTTGGGAGATTTTTTTTCTTTTAACCCTTTGCACTCCGAACCATTCTGGACATTGGCTACCATCTACTCGACGCTACTTTGCAGCGGAAACGTGCATTTACAGACCCTCGTATTATTTAGTATAATTTTGGAACCAAGTAACGTATTATAATGATATTGGACTTATATGAATTGGGTGACATCGAGGAATGTATATTTGCAAAAAAAACTATTTTATTGTTTATAATTTTGTACAGTATGATAAGTTTTGTAACACTCCCCAATATGCATTGCAGGCTGATTAGTGCATGTTTGACAGTAATAAGTGGTTTGACGCCTGCCACCAGGTGTTTTCCTGTTAGAACACACAATGCAGTCCCGTTTTCTTTGTCCCACATCGGGAATATGTAGTTTATTGTTTAATCCGACACAAAACCCGCTGACATTTCTTGTATATATCTTAGTAATTTTACGATATTTTGATTTAATTTCTTGTGCCATTTCAAGATAAAACTTCAGGGAAACATGCATGTCTCAAAAAGTTGCGTTGAAATAACTCAATTCCCCGTAATCACTAATAAACTGCAGTGTCCCCTGAGAGGGGACATCCGAGTGATATGCTAGAATTCCGATGTCCCCTGAGAGGGGACAGCTGAGTGCAAAGGGTTAAAATTATATTTACCCAACAATTTATCCTGTTGCCTCCAAAGGAACTCAAGTTCATCAAATGTTGACACTTCTGCATATGTCCCCCAAGTAAACGGGTGTCTGTGTGGACGGGGAGCACAGGATGTGGGGGCAGAGGCACCAACTTCTGGGGCCCTCACCTACGTACGTGCGTGATGACGAGTCCTGGGAGTGGCCCGAACTGGACTGGACCTTCAAACGGGCCGTTTGGGTGCACACGCAGTTCTGCAGGTTTCCAACCGCACAAGGTACCCCAGCAGCTTCCGGGTTCGCTTCACAACCCCTCACGCACTTAGTCCGCGCTCACCCATTGGCTGCTTCCTGACACTACCTCGTGCTACGTCAGCTCCCGACTCTTCAGCTTCCAGCACGTCCCGCCCCCGCCCAAGGCCCCGCCTCTTCCGGTTTCCGCGCTGCCATCTCATTGGCCCAGCGTCCTCGGTACCGGGCTTCTGCCGCTGCCTGCGCCTCAGAAATGTCAACCAATGGAAACAGACCAGGAACTCCCCGCTCAGCCAATGGGGCGAGGGCGCGAACTATAAAAGGCCCGGTCAGCGCCGCCGGGGAGGTCCAGAGCCGCTGGTACGTCGTTGAGGCGCCTCCAGGGGGCGCCCCGAGGCCGCAGCAGCCCCAGGTCGCGACTGGACGAGCGTCCGCGCGAGAGTAACCTCCTGAGGCCCCCGTTGGGGCTCCGCCGGACCCGCACCCCCAGCTCCGCGGGGCTCACCCTCTCCTCCTCTCATGAGTCTCCCACAGCCCGCGGCGACGTCGGGCGATGCGCAGCCCGCAGGTGAGAGGGATACGAACAGGCCCAGCGCTGACCGGGTAGGTCAGTGGGTAGCGCGTCAGCCTGCGGACCGCAGGGCCCCGAGTTCGATTCCCGACAAGGGCGCGAACCTCCTGCCTCGGTGGCAGGCTCCTCCCCGGCCTGCGCCCTGGAGGGGGCGCGTGCAGGAGGCCACCCGGCCATGTGTCTCTCTCACATGGATGTTTTTCTCTGCCTCCTCCTCCCGCTCTCCCTGAAAACCAATGTCACCCCCTCTCCCTCCCGCTCTCCCTGAAAACCAATGTCACCCCCTCTCCCTCCCGCTCTCCCTGAAAACCGATGTCACCCCCTCTCCCTCCCGCTCTCCCTGAAAACCAATGTCACCCCCTCTCCCTCCCGCTCTCCCTGAAAACCGATGTCACCCCCTCACCCTCCCGCTCTCCCTGAAAACCAATGTCACCCCCTCTCCCTCCCGCTCTCCCTGAAAATCAATGGAGAAATATCCTCAGGTGGGGATTCACAACATCTGTGTCAGCTGTGGGGGTTTGGGGGTGGGAGGCGCCTAGAAGAAGGAGTTGACAGCTCATTTTTTATTTTTTATTTTTCTCTCTTTTCAGCAGCTGCGGAGGGCACCCCGCTGCCCAGCGCACCCCCCGCGTGAGTGTCCCCGGCGCTGTGTCCGGAGGAGGAAGGGCGGCGGGATCGAGGGATGAGACGCGAGCAGAGCTGTGCGCGTGGAGCGCGCGGGCTCCGGGGAGGGACCGGCAGCTGCTGCCCACAGGCCTGCCCGGGCCCCTGAGCAGGGGCGGCGGAGGAGGGAGGGTGCGCGGAAGGGGAAGGCGAGCCCTCCAGACACCCCGAGCCTCCCTCCACCCGACTCCCTAACCCGACCCGACCTCTCCCTCCCCGGGCAGCCGCAGCCTCACCATCCATGACTTTGACATCGGGCGCCCCCTGGGCAAGGGGAAGTTCGGGAACGTGTACCTGGCCCGGCTCCGGGACAGCCATTTCATCGTGGCCCTCAAGGTCCTGTTCAAGTCGCAGCTGGAGAAGGAGGGGATGGAGCACCAGCTGCGCAGGGAGATCGAGATCCAGTCGCATCTGCAGTAAGGCTGGTCTCCCCGTAGAGGGCTCCACGCTGGGCCTCTGTTTGCTTGTGGGGCTTTTGGTGGTGGTTGTTTTTTCTTTTCATTTGAGAGAGAAAAGAACATCAGTTTGGCCCTGGCCGGTTTGGCTCAGCGGGTAGAGTGTCGGCCTGCGGACTAAAGGGTCCCCGGTTGATTCGGGTCAAGGGCACATGCCTGGGTTGCAGGCTCAATCCCCCCCAGTGTGGGGCATGCAGGAGGCAGCCAATCAATGATTCTCTCTCATCATCGATGTTTCTCTCTCTCTCTTCCTCTCCCTTCCTCTCTGAAAGCAATAAAAATATATTTAAAAATACATAAATAAATAAAAAGTATCACAAATGTCACATGCAAAAAAAACACAAACAAATAAAAAAAAAAGAACATCTGTTTGTTGTTCCACCTATTTCTGCATTCATGAGTGACCCTTGTACGTTCCCTGGCTGGGGATCGAACCCAGAATGGCATCCATGGGAGGATGCGCTAACCAGCTGAGCTCCCCGGCCAGGGCCCACACGGGTGCCTGACCCTTTTGTTAGGTTTAATGTAAGGTTTAATCTGAGATGTAAGATTTAATCTGACCAAAGCCAATAAATTGACCAAGACAAGCAGGGTAAGAGCGAAAGATCGCGTTTATTGGAAGCTCTCGGGTGAGGTCCCACGGTCTGGGGGTGCAGGCCGGGGGAGTCACACCCGCCTATGCCTGGCAGAGATTTTTTATGCTGCTGTTGGACCAGTCAGGTTTATCTGAGGTAGCTTGTGGCGGGTGATTGATGAGCGGGAAGTTGGTGCAGCTGCACCCTGGCCATCTTGAGAAGTCTCCGGTGGTTATTTATTGGCCATCAGCACAACAGGATGCTCTGGTGGGTCCCAGGATGGCAGCTATTGTCCAGCAGGATGTGGCTCGGCAGTTCCGGGTTGTTTTGTCCAACTCAGCTGGTGGGATCAGGAAAGACCCTATTTTCCCAGCCCCAGACCTTACACCTTCTTGTTCTTTTTTTTTTTTTTAATATATTTTATTGATTTTAGACAGGAAGGGAGAGAGAGATAGAAACATCCATGAGGAGAGAGAATCATGGATCGGCTGCCCCCTGCATGCCGTTCACTGGGGATGGAGCCCACAACCCAGGCGTGTGCCCTTGGCCGGAATCGAACCCAGGACCCTTCAGTCCGCAATCTGACGCTCTATCCATTGAGCCAAACCAGCTAGGGCATCTTCTGTGTCCTCTTTTATCTTTGACGCAGGAACCCAGCATCTCCCTCCAAACAACCCCCAATGAAGCGAGGCCCTTGCTTTCAGCTGAAGGTTTTTTCCCCTCTGCAATTTATCACAATTACACTCTGCGCAGCCCCCTGCGTCACACACCAAATGCCCATTCCTTGTTCTCCCCTCATGCAGTCCCAGCTCAGGCTGTTATACTGGTGCCAGGACAATCTGCCTTTTTTTTTTTTTTTTTTTTTTTTTTACATTTAAGGAACCATATTCTTTTTTTTCTTTAGATATTTTTTTCATTGATTTCAGAGAGGAAGGGGGAGAGAGAGAGAGAGACATCGCTGATGAGAGAGAATCATGGAGCAGCTGCCTCCTGCAAGCCCCCTACAGAGGATGGAGCCCGCAACCCGGGCATGTGCCCTGATGGGAATCAAACCGTGACCTTCTGGTTCATAAGTCGATGCTCAGCCACTGAGCCCCGCCGGCTGGGCCACAACCTGCTTCTTGTGTCTTGAGTGACCAATCTCTTGTAATAACATCATGAATTGGGCCTCAGGGAGGAGTCTGACCCTCCTCCCGTCTGCCCTCCAGACATCCCAATATCCTACGCCTGTACAACTACTTCCATGACGAGCGTCGTGTGTACCTGATCCTGGAATACGCGCCACGGGGTGAGCTCTACAAGGAGCTGCAAAAGAGCCACACGATCGATGAGCAGCGTACGGCCACGGTGAGGTGGGTGGGGGGGAGGGGAGGGTGGCTGGGGCTTTGGGGTCCATGAGTTTACTGTGGGCTGGTGAGGGAGATCACTGCTTGTGGCTGTCATGAGTGTCCAGATTGCTTTTTGCTTTTAATAAATATATATTATATATATATTTTATTGATTTCAGAGAGAAAGGGAGAGAGAGGGAGAGAAACATCAATGATGAGCGAGAATGATTGATTGGCTGCCTCCTGCACGCCCCCTACTGGGGATCAATCGCACAACTTGGGTGTGTGCCATTGACTGAAATCGAACCCTTCGGTCCACAGACCGGCTCTATCCACTGAGCAAAACCAGCTAGGGCTTCCGTCTATTTTTGTACTGTGGCCCAATGCATGAATTCGTGCACATTGAAAGGAAATTAAATAGAAGAAATATTTTAATATCGCTATTCACCCTTTCTCTATAATAGAAGTGTCAATCAAATTCACTATCGACAATGACAAATGGAAACACGCATGGGATTGGTGACAGCAAGAGCTTTCTATGTATCGCTCATGCGCGAGTCAACTTAGCCTTTCATAGATATAGAATAAACTTGCTTAATTAGACCTGCTTTCTGATGTAGCTAAACTTTTTCCAGCCCAGTGGAGCATCCCAACTTCTCTTTAGTGGTAAATATCAACACGAAGCAGATTATTATTGTAGATCATGCAGGGAGAATAAAGGGTAAAATATTTAACTGCAGCAGTGTTTGACTCTATTCTGCACAGTGAGAAAACCTGAAGTCATTTTCAAGGTCTACCATTTCTTCTTTTCAGTCGGGCCAAGTTTCTAAGCTTTCTAAATCTCCGTTTTCTGGCTAATGAAAAGAAAATAGGATTCCACCGAGTCTCCTATCTACCTACTCCAGACTTCTGTGAGGATCAAATGAGATGAGGCATGGAAAACGCTTCATAGACATTTGGTTAAAGTGTAAAATGTTTGCACCTGCCTATAAAGCAAGTCGTGTTCCTGGGCTGAAGAAACTGCAAGGAGGCTAGTCACTAGGGAAGCCGGGCGTTGCTATGTGACATCATTACCCGGACGGACACTTAGCATATTAGCCTTATATATATATAGATTATTTCCTCAGGCCTTTCATCCTGCGGCAGATCATCAGCGTGGCCCAGCCTAGACCCTATAGAGGGAGGATCTGGCCACTTTAGCACCTATCCTAACAGACTACATCAGTGGTTCTCAACCTTCCTAATGCCGCGACCCTTTCATACAGTTCCTCATGTTGTGGTGACCCCCAACCATAAAATTATTTTCGTTGCTACTTCATCACTGTAATGTTGCTACTGTTATGAATCGTAATGTAAATATCTGATATGCAGGATGTATTTTCATTGTTACAAATTGAACATAAAGCATAGTGACTAACCACAAAATCAATATGTAATTATGTATGTGTTTTCCGATGGTCTTAGGCGACCCCTGTGAAAGGGTCGTTCGACCCCCCCAAAGGGGTCGAGACCCGCAGGTTAAGAACCGCTGGACTACATAGACTGGGGGGGCGGAAACCCTCCCCCACCATCAATAACGGTGCCCTGTCGAGGGGGTCGTGGCGTTGGTGACCAGGGAATAAAAGACGCCGACTGCACAGCGCAGCGGGGTGTTTCCCTCAGGAAGCTGTGGCCGGCTTCCTTTCTAAGGCTGCCCTTGCCTCCGCCCACACAGATCATGGAGGAGCTGGCGCACGCTCTGGCCTACTGCCACCAGAACAAGGTGATCCACAGGGACATTAAGCCGGAGAACCTGCTGCTGGGGCTGCGGGGGGAGGTGAAGATTGCGGACTTTGGCTGGTCCGTGCACACCCCCTCGCTGAGGTGAGTCGGGCGAGGGCGAGGGCGAGGGTGAGGGCGGGCTGGGCCCTGGGTTGCTCATTAGGAATGATGCACTGTAACACGTTCCAGGTGTAAGACCCGGATACAGGCCTGGGTTTGTAACTAAGTACCGGCAAGCACCACCTAATGATGCTTCCTTTAGTTTAGTGGTTCTCAACCTTCTGGCCCTTTTTATTTTTATTTATTTATTTATTTATTTATTTATTTATTTATTTATTTATTTTTTATTGATTTCAGAGAGGAAGGAAGAGGGAGAGAGAGACAGAAACATCCATGATGAGAGAGAATCATGGATTGGCTGCCTCCTGCACGCCCCACACTGGAGATTGAGACCACAACCCGGGCATTTGCCCTTGATCGGAATCGAACCTGGGACCCTTCAATTTGCAGGCCGATGCTCTATCCACTGAGCCAAACCAGCTGGGGCTCTTCTGGCCCTTTAAATACAGTTCCTCATGTTGTGACCCAACCATAAAATTATTATCGTTGCTACTTCATAACTGGAATGTTGCTACTGTTACGAATCGTAATGTAAATATCTGATATGCAGGATGGTCTTAGGTGACCCCTGTGAAAGGGTCGTTCGACTGCCAAACGGGTCGCGACCCACAGGTTGAGAGCTGCTGCTTGTAGCGTGATGCATCACGTGTCCATGGTGATGCTGTGTGAATAAACCTGTGCTGCCAGTCATCTCAAGTGTAGCACATACAGCCCTAGCCAGTGTGGCTCAGTGGATAGAGCGTGGGCCTGCAGACCGAAGGGGTTCCGGGTTCGATTCCGGTCAAGGGCGTGTACCTCGGTTACAGGCTCCTCTCCGGCCCGGGCCCTAGTCGGGGCTGGTGCAAGAGGCAACCAATCCATGTGTTTCTCTCACATCGATGGTTCTCTCTTCCCTTCTCTCTTCCACTCTGTCTAAAAAAAAAAAAAAAAAATCAATGGAAAAATATCCTCCGGCGAGGATTAAAATAAATGAATAAAGACAAACGTATAACCCTGAGCGATGGGTGAGGCGCGCCTGCCTGTGTCCCTTTACCCGCTCATTCTGCCCGCAATGAGCCCGCCACCAGGGTCAGCGTTCCCTGCCCCCCAGGGAATCTGTGTAATCGTTCAGTTCAGTTCCTCCCGTGGCACGTGCTTCTGTGATGTGACATGAGAATCTGTGATGGACGTAACGCCCACCCCCCAGCATCTGGCCTTGGTCTGCGTTCCGTGTAACCTCTGTTCATGTGAAGCCAGTGGGTGTCTGCTTTCCGGCTGCCTCCGTCCGCCAGGGACACAGGCAGCCTGAGTGGTTACGAAAATAAAGGAATGAACATGTCAACCACAAAAAAAAAAAAAAAGACAAATGTATAGCACATACAGTTATATATAGTACACGATGCTTGATAATGATAGCAAACGAATGTGTTAGCAGTTTGTGCATTTAGTATATTCTGCTGATGTCATTCAGGGAGGATTACAACAGCTGTTGCTGCACAAGGAGTCTTGCTTGGGCCCTGGCCAGTGTGTTCAGTGGTTAGAGCCTCAGCCTGCTCAGTGAAGGGTCTCGAGTTCAACTCCAGTCAAGGGCACACACCTGGGTTGCAGGTTGAGACCCAGGCCGTTGGGGCTCGTGCAGGAGGCAACAAATCGATGTCTCTCTGCTTCTCTGTCTTAAATCTTTGTATGAATAATTCCAAAATCCGGAATCCCTGCCTTCTCGGGACCCTGAAACTTGGGCCCTGGCTAGTTTGGCTCAGTGGATAAAGCGTCGATCTGCAGACTGAAGGGTCCTGGGTTTGATTCTGGTCAATGGCCAATCCCGCTGTGGGCTTGT